AAAGGGACTGACAAAATCAGTAAAGGAAACCAGCTGGCAGACCAAAGGGCCAAGAGAGCAGCCACCCAAACAAAGCCTGCTGTGGACTTAGGTGATCCTGCCAAAATCATGTTGGTACCAGAAACAACACAACACCCGAGGTACACAAAGGAAGGAGGCTCAACAGGAAGCTAGCAAAAGGGGGAGAAAGACCGAGGAGGGACGGTGGAAGCTCCCAGATCAGAGACTTCTGGTTCCCCAGCAGTTGGCCTACCGGCTGATGCCACAATATCACAAGATGACCCACTGGGAAAAAACAACTCTCAAAACCTCACTGAGCAGATACTACTTTATAATCAGACTCCCTTCGCTGTGTGCCCAGATCAGTTACCTAAGTCCATCATGGGCCCAGAACAATGGCAGACAAAAACCCAAGCTGCCTCCAGGCACAAGCCGCCAGGACTGCACCATTCGAGGACTTAGTAGTAGACTGCACTGAAGTAAAATGATTCAGAGGCTGTAAGTACCTCCTAGTTTTAATCCTTGGGTTGACATGCTACCGTTAGCCTTACTCCAGGCCTGATGCATGCTAGGGCCTTTGGGGTATTCCCCCTATGAAATCATGTATGGGAGGCCACCCCCAATTGTAGCCAAGCTGAAAGGAAGTCCCCAGCAGCTAGGAAAACTAGGGCTATCCCAACAATTGCAAGCTCTAGGAAAAACTCTGTCAGATCACAAGAGAAGTACTAGAACGGGTCCCTATCCTGCTGGGAACTGGACACACCCCCGTCAGCCTGGGGATATGGTCTGGGTCAAAGACTGGAAAAAGAGGCCTTTCCAGACTGTCTGGACAACCCCCCACATGGTTGTCTAACCACTCCCACAGCTACTAAACTTACAGGTCTCATGTTCTGGATCCACCACACACAGGTCTAAAGGGCAACCACACCAGACGACACAATGCCTTGGACCATAAAGACTGACCCAACAAACCTGCTCAAGGTCCAACTGCAGGGGTGACCAAACAACAGCCCTGCCCTGGTCACTCCAGAAGCTAACCAGTCAACACACGCTGAAGCTTGAGGATCTCTGATGAGGGAGTGCACCTCTGCAAAATTTATTGGACTGTATTTTTTGGGATTGATGATCCTTACCTTTGTTTTAATTTTCTGCTGTGTGTACCACATTATTTCTTTCCCTTGCAGGTCTTCACTAGAAAAGTCCCCAGGTAGGCTTCACTTGGGACCACTCAATGATGGGCCCCATTATGACTCCTGACCCATGCCCTAGGTCCCCCAGTGATGCCCCCATGTGCCCTGATTGTCACTACTCAATACCCCAATCAATGGCAAAAAGCCTGAATATGATGCTCACTTAAAGAATTAGAAGACAGCATCAAAGGGTGGAATGATATGGACAAGACCAGGAAAACTTAAATCTGTACCTGTTCTTCTACTTTTTGTTTTGCAGCTGTATTTTTGCTTTTTGTTTTTCTTTTGTAACACTGACCACGTTTTGTATCAGCTTGGTCCCCAAGGCATGGATTCTGAAAGAACAAAAACTAAAACCCTGGAAGAATGTAACCTATATAATCCTTTGCAGGCCTGGAGTCTGGGCTCAGACTTTGGAATGTGAACTCCTCTGGACCCGTGGGTGTAATAAATCTTTGAGTTCTCCAATCCTCCGAGTGACACTTGGTTTCTCAGCAGTCTGTCCTGCAAGTTTTACTAGAGAAAAGTGGACCCAACTAGGAGGGCCTTTGCCTCCATGACCTCTGATTGGCTCACCACTACATATCCTGCCTTTTGAGTTCCCATTCAAAGGCAATCTATTTTGAGATACTGTAAATGTTACTAATTTTTTCCACTTGAAATATGTAAGTTGTGCTATAACAAATCATCCTGTCAAGTGTAACCACTGTCCACATAGTTGAGCTTCTGGGGTCAAGAAAGTATATTTACTGTGCCTTGGCCATGCCCAGGACCTGACTGACCCCTGCCCACAATCAGGCACACTGTCAGCACCTCAGGGCCCCACCCAGGGGCCCAGGGCAAGGAGCCAGTAAGCAGAACCCCCCCCCTGCCCACAACCAGGCACACTGCCAGCACCTCAGGGTCCCACCCAGGGGCCCAGGGAAAGGAGTCAGTCACCAGAACTCCCCCTGCCCACAACCAGACACACTGCCAGCACCTCAGGGCCCCACCCAGGGGCCCAGGGCATTGAGCTGGGACCAGACCCCCCCAATCAGGCACAACACCAGCGCCAAGCAGCATGCCATAAACCACCTCCATGTGAGTGGCCCACCACAGCCACCACAGTAACCACGGCTGCCACAAAAGCAGCTAGACATCACAACCACCACACAGATGGTCCACCAGCCACTGGAGTGCACTGACACAAGGAGAGTCACCAGCAGAGACCAAAGAAGATGTCTCTCTCCACAAAGCCCATTTCAGAGTGACAGAAGAAATATCTGCTCTATGATAATATTGGGGGACCTGAACACACCTCTCAGCATTAGACAGATCATCTAGGCAACAAATCAACAGAGTAACCATTACTCTTTCAGAAGGAGAGAAGAAATCTAGGGTTATCAGTGGTGGCGGGGAAGGGGGGATAAGGAGAGATTGGACAAGGGGCATAAAGAGTAAGTACAATTTGTTACAACATACATACTATAATATTGACTTGATCAACATATGTCAACACTGAATCCCAAAAACATGTACAATCAACTATGATTCAATTTAAAAAAATAGAAACAAGAAATTATATTTAAACTGGTTCCCACCATACCTGGTGGGGCACCGAACTGTGAAAACACACATCAATTCGCTGCTTATTGCATGGCCTGGGGTCTCTCTGCCTTCTCCTAAATCCCCACAACAGTGAGTATCTATTCCTTCAAGTGTCCCTGCCCTTGAAACTGCTTCTGGCTCCCTTCATAATGACAAATCACTTCCAATACATCCCACACTTCGAGATCTTCCACAACCACACCCTCCAGACCAGCCATATTCTGTTCGAATGGAAACCCGGCCTCAGAGAGGCCCCCTACCTTGTATACCAGGAGACTGTCCATTCAGCGACAAAATGCCCCTTACCCCCCAGCCACCTTAAGGACTCATGGCTGCCCCAATCCTCAGTGACCCTTGAACAAGAAGAGAATTAAACAACTGGCAATCATTTCCATTGCCCTCACAAACAGAGCCCAGGGTAGATGTGCCCAGGCTTGGGAGCATATTCAGTCTGGATGCCTCCATGAATATGAATAGCAGTCCATTAGCAGGTCCAGAGCGTGAGCACCCCAAAAGCAAACCTTCCCAATCTATTAATGCCATTTTTTCTCTGGCTGCCAGACCTCTTCCTGTGCCAGAACTGCCACCTGGGGAACAGTACGGAAGTGGGGAATACAGAGTATATGACTCCCTCCTCTAGGCCTGTGGGGCCTCAAATGGCTTTTGGAGATAAACCAGAGTTCACGAGCATACGACTGTGACTAGCAGATTGAATAGCTGTACATATGAAACAGTGCATAACAGTACCGGTCACCACCTGTCCTTGAGAACTGCACCTTTGGTGAAGGGAATTTGGCCACAGCCTGTCCTCTGAGGAATCAGAAAGTGAACATGATGGATCTGATGTCCCCAAGCCAGCTATGCCATCAGAGCTGGCCCCTGAACTCTCTCAGATATCTCTAATGTCAGCTCCTTCTTTAGCTGATTATATCTAGGTGGTCATCCCCAAACAAACTTCACTGAGGTTTCTCAAGTCCCTGAAGGGCCCTCCCCAAATCATTTCCTCAGAGAATCAACTGTGAGTGATGAGCAGATAGCTGTTAGCAAGGTAACGGTGCTGTGGCTGCTTCTGCCACCACCTTGCCTCAGCTCTCCAGTGAGATCGAGAACCTCATGAATCAGGGGTACACCTATACTAGGACATTCAGGAAGCTTTGGTCATCTCTAATCAGCCATCACGAGGGGTCCCTGTGGAAGCCACAGGCTATAGCTCACTCTTTTTCCTCCTGGGCATGTTGTGAAGGAGTATCTATTGCACTTGAGGGAGCATTCAGAGCAGGAGAGCTAATGCCTCTCTCAGAGATTTAGCCTGCACAGCTTGTCAGGATGTAAATTGAGTAGGAGCTGGCTGATGCACAGAGAGCTGGGATTGCCCTGGAATGGCTCCCAATAGTGGGTCATCTACAATGTCAGGCCAATGAAAGAGTTCATGTGGAACCAAACCATTTGACATGATGGAAAACAATGTTTGGTACATGACTGGAATGGCAGAGAGACAAAGAACATTTACTTATTTATTGTCTTAACAGTTGATTGACAACACGTGCCTTATTTAGAGTTAACAAGCTAAACATCAATTGATACATCAACAATTTTAAAAACTTACATCTTTTTGTTAGGAACAGGATGCCTCACCTGTCATGAGATTTCTCTTCAAAGCTATGAATACTTGTAGAGAACTTCTTGTGTAGAGTTCCCTTTTTTTGATTAAAACATTCCTCATGAAAGCATTGATGACGAAGTTTCTGATTGAAAAAGTCTTACTTTTCTATATACTGGTTCCTCGGTACCGGGAAGGCTCATTCCCAGTGTGAGGAAAATAGAGTAGTTTAGTCAGGCTCCCTCACCTTAGGTCCAGTTGGGGGTGGTGCAGCACATTCTTTGTAAACAAGGTGTGTAGGGGTGGAGTTAGTGCGCAGGCATGCCGTGTATCTTTATAGCTTGTTGCTACTCTCCTGTGTACTCCAGTGTGTGAAGCTGTGGCTTGGCAGAGCTCATGTCTAAAAACAGAGCAAGTTTGGGCAAGATGGCGGTCTGAAGGCAGCGGCAGCAGTGGAAACTCAAGACTCAGGGGCCCCAGGGACTGGAAGAAATAACAGAGCCTACTTGGAAAAAAGAAAAGGTAGCGACTTGCCACAGCCCAACCCCAGAGCAGGCCCCTAGAAAGGCTGGAGCCGCCGCCTCTTGCAGTCGGTGACCGTGCGACTCAGCGCCGACCCGCAGAAGCGGCAGTAGCAGCAGAACAGGAACCGGTGGCAGTACAGCCGGCGGCAGCAGCAGAGGAACTGGCAGCAGCGGCGGCAGCGGCAGTAGCAGAAGAACTGGCGGAAGCGGCATCAGCGGAGGAACAGGCGGCAGCGGCAGCAGCGGAGGAACAGGCAGCAGCGGCAGCAGTGGAGGAGCCTGCGGCAGCGGTGCCCTCAACAGCAGCGGCAGTGGCGGAAGCGGCACCAGCAGTAATGGCGACAACAGAAGCAGCAGTAGCAGCGGCAGCAGCGCAGGAGCCAGTGGTAGCGGCAGCAGCATAAGCGGCACCGACGCCAGCGGCAGCAGCGGCAGCAGTGGGAGTGGTGGAAGCAGCAGCAGTGGAGCCAAACAGCAGCAACAGTAGTGGAGGAACCGGCTGCAGCGGCAGCAGCAAAGAAACTGCCGGCAGCAGCGGAGAAGCCGGCAGCAGCGGCCG